TTGTTACTATTTTCCCTATTTGTTTATTTGCTTACATTAAAAGTCTTTGAGTTCTTTTCTTCCTGAAATCTTTAGTCATTTCAGTCTTTTTTCCTCCAAGATTTCCCCTATTTACTTTGTGACTGTTCCATCTGATGGTTTTATAGGGGGCCAGATCTCAAAGTGTCTCAGTCTCCTCCCATGCTGGGCAATTCATGATTCACCAGCCTTGGTCTCTGCCACAAGCAACTTTTGGGTGGTCAGAACTACCCTCAGTTATGCTCGGCTTCAGGTTTAATGGAGTGGTGCACAACGTCCCATACACAGTGTCCTGTCCTGGTCCCACTCCCTTTGTTTCTAATTCTTTGGCCTGACATTAGCTATTCAGAGCTTTATAGTAACTGGTGCTATAGAGTTGTGGTTCCTGGAAGGCTTTTACGCCAAAAGGGCTACGGTTATGCTGGCTGTCAGTCCTGGTCAGGGTAAATTTCCAGTCTGGAACCGGGGTCTCCATGCCACTAGCAAAAGGGAGGGGAGACTAGGGTATTTTGTTTTGAGTTTTGTTGGAAGCCTGTGTCATATTTTTGGGTCTGCGAATGCAGCTTCACTGACAGTAGTGTGGGAGGTTCAGGAGGAGTGCTGAGGGAACTCAAGGTCAGTGAGCATTACTTCATGGATTTTTTTAACCTTCTTTTGGATTCTGGGTGTCCTAGACCATGGAGGCTGCTGAAGTTGTTTTATCTTTGGTGCATAATTTACATTTTGGAGAAGTTTGAGAGGGCATGTGGATCAGAAAAAAATATCCAGCCCTCCATCTTACTACTTATATGACCTAGAAAGCTCACTAGAGGTATGTCAAATAATATCAGGGGCAAAGCAAAAATGCCCATTATAAATACTATTATTTGATGTAATTCTAGATATACTACCTATAGTAATACAAGAAATTGTACTAATAAACACAGATGAAGAGGAAATAAAATTGTCACTTTTTTTGCAGATGATATTATACTCGACTTAATAATTTTTTTTTGGGTGAGGCAATTGGGGTTAAGTGACTTGCCCAGAGTCACACAGCTATTGAGTATTATGTATCTGAGGCCGGATTTGAACTCAGGTCCTCCTGACTCCAGGGCTGGTGTTCTATCCACTGCATCACCTAGCTGCCCCTAATTGAAATAATTTATAACACAAATAATTAGGATATAAAATAAGCTCACAAACTCATTAGCCTTTCTATATATTACTAACAAAACCCATCAGAAAGAGATAGAAAAAAATTTCATTCAAAGTAACTAAAGAATCTATAAAGGATTTGAGAGTTCACATTTCAAGATATATACATAGGAATAGAACTCTAAAAAACTCTTTACAGAAATATAGAGAGCTAAATAATTGGAAAGTATTAATTATTCATGGTCGTGCTGTGCCAATGTAATTAAAATGACAATACTACCTAAATAAATTTACCTATTCAGTTCCATGCTAATTAAAAGATCAAAGGCTTACCTTACAGAACGAAAAAAAAATCATCTATAATGTTGAACTAAAGGTGAAGAATCTCAAAGGAAATACTGAAAACCAGTGGGAAGAAGGACAACCTTATCGTACCCAATCTCAAACTATACAACAAAGCTGAAATCATCTACACTATTTGATACTCATTAAAAAACAGAAAAGTTAATCAGAAGAACAACATATAGTCATCTGGAAGCCAATGAATAGATAGGAATAGCATAGTGTTGATAAGTCCCAAACCTCAGCTACAAGGATAAGGGTTCACTATTTGGGGGGAAAAATTGCCAGAAAAAATGGAAAGCAGGTTGATAGAAAATATGTTTACACAAACATCTCACACTGTACATCACAAGAAGCTCCAAACAGACATGGAGGCATAGTCATATAAGTTCTCATTACAGAAATTTGGAGGGATACAGAAGGAGAAACTTTTTGTAACTATAGATAGAGGAAGAGTTTCTGACCAAATGAGAAATAAAGAGGATTATAAAAGGTAAAATGAACACTTTTTACTATAAAAATTTGAAAAGCTTTTGCATGAACACATTTTTATGTGAACATTATACTAAAAAGATTGCTCTTATATAAGAGTCTAATCCTGACTTTCCCAAGGTCAAACAACTACCTAGGGGCCATACTAGGACATGAATCCATGCATCCTGTTTCCTACTCACTCCCTTCCTAGTAGATCCTGCTGCTATATGAAAGCAGCAAGTTACTGATTGACAGGCTGCTAACTAGTAAATTAGAGATTTCTTATGATTTCCAGCAAAGAGAAAAGCTCAGGCACAATCCAAAGAGCTCACCACCCATCTGTTCCCCTACTTCAGTGAGTCAAGAATTCAGGAAAATGAAATTGTCTGACCTGATGGATAGGTTGGAGACCCCCTAACCCATATTACAGCATCATGGCATTACCAATTGCTATCGTGATGTGTTGGGAAGACTGTTTCCTCCCAAACTTTTTACTTCTTCTGACTTCACTGTTTCATTGGTAGAAATCACCTTGGATTTGAAATCAGAGGACCTGGGTTCAAATCTCAGCCCTGAAATTTACTATACATATCTTTACTATATAAATTTACTACATAAATTTATACATTTATGTGTAAATATATATATATAATATACACATGCATATACAATATATTCACATATATTTATACATAAATATTACACATATGTGCATATGTAAATACACATACATATACACATGTGTATATGTGTCCATATATCATATACACATTTATATATGTAATAGAATATACTATATACCTTATAAATATAAAATATTCTATACATGTACATATATTATACATACACATCTATTTATACATAATTATAAATATAACATAAATATATGTACATAATATATTTCTATATTTATAAATTTACAACTCACCTAACTGTACATTGAGAGGGTTAGACTCAACATGGTATCATGGAAAAGGCATCTGGTATCAGAGGATCTGGGTCTAATTCTTTGTCTGATACTAAATGATATAAGTGACCTTGGGTAAGTCATTGAAGCTTCTAGGCCTCATTTTTATCATCCATACTATGAGAGGGTTGGACCAGATGGTTTCCGTGGCCCCTTCCAGCTTTACTATTGTGACCCTACAATGATTCACCCAGACTCCCATGGTCTAACTTTGAAGTTTTCTTGAACTCTTCCCCCTTCCTCAGCTCTCATCTGGGTAGCTCTGTTTCTGCTCAAGCCTTGGGTGCCAGAGAGACATCCCTTTGCTTCAATGCTGCTTCTGTGGAAGATGACATGACTCTTGACCAGCTAACAGAATGCTGAGCATGACGCTTCATAGCTGTATATGGGACTTACTCAGTTGGTTAAGGACTTAGGAGAGGGAATTTGGAGACACTGCTGGAGAAAGAAACTTCAAGGGACACAGGAGAGAAATGCCTTTGAGCGTCACACTGGAGCTCTCGAAGCCGTGGGCACATCGGGGAGCTGGTTCCATCGTGATCCTGGACCTCCAGAGCCTGCAATTCTTGAGGCTACAGAGAGCAGATTGTCCCCTCTCTTCTGATTTGAACTCAGAGCTTACCTTGCTCCCAGCTGGAGAAATCATTTATTCTTGTGTATTCAATGGTATGTACAGGGGATGTGTGGAGGCAGCTAGGTAGCTCAGAGGATAGAGTGCTGGACCTGGAGTCAGGAATGTCTGAGTTCAAATGTAGCCTTAGACACTTACTACTGTGTGACCCTTGGCAAGTCACTTAACTCTGCCTTAATCCACTGGAGAAAGAAATGGCAAACCACTCCAGTATCTTTGCCAAGAAAATCCCATCGACAGTATTGACGTGCTATGGTCCATGGAGTCATAAAGAGTTGGACACAACTGAACAACAACAATTCATTAGTACTTACTGATCTGGAGAACTCTCGTTTCCATTTGATATTTTGCTTGGGTAAATAGGCATATTTGCTATTTGTGATAATATTTTTTAACTAACATCTAATGGGAAGGGGCTAAGAGCTGGAGACCAGGGAAATAAGAGCTTTGGTTCTGAACCTGACCTGCACCCTTAGACCAGAGATATTTAGCAGGGTATAGCTATAATAGCTATAATTCTAGCCTGCTATATACCTTGTGGCCAAAGAAGAGATCAATAACTCAGACTCCCATGGTTGTAGACCTTGCCTACCCCCCTCCTCTGCTTGTGCTCCTGGTGGTACTAGGAGATGGGGTGAGCCAGAATGGACCTCAGTTCTATTTACCCATGCCACCCAAGACTTGTGTCTATTTATTTAGACAGCCCCCCACACACATAGCTTATACATGCAATCACTCCTTTTACTAAGTCTTGTTTATTCTATCTCTGCCTTAGCTTTTAAATCTGTTCCTACCTCTCTATTCCCACTGTCACCACCCTAGGACAAGCCCTCATTACCACCCACTTGGAAGATTACAATAGCCTTCCCACCTCCACTCTCTCCTTCCTCCAAATCATCCTCCAAGTTGCTGTCAAATTTATCTTTCTAATCCATAGATCATCTCATGTCACTCCTTGGCTCCAAACCCTTCAGAAGCTCCCTATGGCCTTCCAGGTAAATTTCAAACTCTTATACCTGATATTTAAGACCTATCACAATCTATACTAACCTATCTTTCCAGATTCATTTCAGACTATTTCCCCCTTCTGCATACTCTACTGGCCATCGCCCATGTGTGTCCTACACTTTCCTCACCTCCATATTTATGCTGTTCCCCATCGTGAAATGTCTTCCCCGCCTATTAAATTCCTACTCTGTTATTATTTTAAGATTTTCTTGATGTGTTTAGTATAGTGCCTGGAACATAGTAGGTGCTTAATAAATATGTGTGTGTGTATTTGTGTGTGTGTGTGTGTGTGTCTATACATATATCATGGTCATTTCTCTAATTCCACCCCCAGGATCCTAGTAAGCCTGCCCTATACCAAAGAATACAATATTTCTGATAGCTTATGCCTCCATAATCCCCCACCTCTCCAAAGAAACTTACCCAGTCCTTCAAAGTCCAACCCCCTAAATGAAGTCATTGTTGGGTGGTCTCTCCAGCTGTCAAGAACATTTCTCTTCTTCTACCTTCACACAGTACTTTCCCTTGGTATAATGTACTGATAAATATTATGTATCGGTGACTTTTGTGTAGAGAAATCAGCCTGTGATTTGTTGCACGTAGGGGCAAAAGTCAGCCGGCTTTTCAATCTTCAGCAGCCAGCCATACACTTATCATCTGCAGAGAATAGATTGAGATTGTTGTAGATATCCTCCCCATTAGTCTCCCTGCATCCATAACACCATGGGCTCTCTGTTCTCCAATTCATTCTCTGCACTGCTTCCAAACTGATATTCTGCTGCCCATGTCACTTCTCTGCTCAAACAACGTCATGTTTCCCCATTGCTACTAGGAGAAAACACACAATTTGTGGGAGAGTGACGTCAAAGTTTACGCGGAAAACGTTTTGTTGTTATTTTTCTTTCTACATTATTACCCTGAGTGACTTTACTTTGAACTAAGTGTATCCTCTTGCAAGTACTTAACTTCCGTTTACCTCATTTTCTCCAACTGTAAAAGTATCTCAGTTTCTCCAGCAGTAAAAAGCAAACACATTGGTGGGGGCTTGTGATCTATAATTTGGAAAACAAACTGACCCACAAAGCACCTAGAACCTAGGCTATCTTTCTGAAGGGCTCATGGGTAACAGGAGACCCAATCGTTCATGTAGACATGTTATCTATCTACTAGAGCATAAATACCAAGAGGACAAAATTCCCTAAACTGTTATCTCTCTCAGCTCCTAGTACACACTTAAATTATCTTGCACTTAACTGTGTAAATGCTGTTACCTTTCAGTAGAATGAGGCATCTAGGTGGCCCAGTGAACAGAACACTGGATCAGAAAGACCTGACACTTATTAGCTGTGTGACCCTGGGCAATTCACTTAACCTCTGTTTATCTCAGTTTCTCCAACTGTAAAATTAGGATAATAATAGCACATACTTTGGAGGGTTACTGTTAGGCTCAAATGAGATAATATTTGTGAAGTACTAAACACACTGCCTGGCCTATAATAGGTACATAAATACTTATTCCCTTCCCCCAGAAGGTAAAGTCCTTGAGAAGGGTTCTTCATTTTGTATTACATCTAGTATAGTGTCCTCTATATAGTAAATACTTAATAAATGCTTTAATCCAGTAAGTGTTTTTTAATTTAATTAAGTTGAAATTATTTAAACAAAAATGCCATGAAAGGTGATTGGTGTATTAATTGCTAAGGCACTCTCTCTGGTTTTTTTCTAATTACCCAGCCCCATAGCCCTCCTGGTCAACTAGTAACTTCCTAATAACACCCTAGGAAGTTACTAAGCTTGTACTTGGAGGGTTATTTCAGATTCCTTTTTGGTAAAGAAAAAATAAAGTGGAGGAAAAAGAAAGAGTAAAAAGAATATTATCTCTAAATTGCCATTTTCATCCCAGGAGTTCAGTGTTTACATGCATGGATGTTGCTAAAACCCTAAACATAGAAAGTCAGCAAGTTTTATTACACTCTGTTTTGTACAGGGAGATGAAATGATGAGTCTGGAGACGTGGACTGGGTATCATGGACTGGGTCTTCATCCAGAACTCACCACGGATAGAGTGCCCAGAGGTCCTGATCCCAGACTGACACAGACTCCGCTCTACCAAGAGCTGAGTTTCAGCCAAGAACCCTGTGGACCACTCTTCAGTTACAGCTGAGAGACAAAAACAACACCCGACATTTTTAAAGTGCTTCATGTTTTTCAAATCTCAGTATGTACATTATCTCATGAGTCTCACTCCATTTCCTCCCTATGTGACCTTGTGTAAATAATTTAATCTTTTTGGGTCTGTTTCCTCCTTTGTCAAATTAAGGGATTCAATTAGGTCAGTGGTACTCAGTATCCATTTATATTCCTAAAAATTGGGGGCCTCCCCAAAGAGCTTTTGCTTATATGTTTTGACTCTTGACTATTGACTATTTATTATAGTAGAAATTAAAACATCTAAGTATTACAGAAATAGTTTGACGTAGTCATCCTCCCCCCCCCCCCCCCACCAACTTTGAGAACTGCTGGACTAAATCATCTCTAAGGCTGCTTATAGCTACAAGAACCATGATAAAAATAGCTAGCATTTACATAGGACTTTAAAGTGTACAAAGTGCTTTACAAATATCACCTCACTTGATTCTCACAGGACCTATGAGGTGGGTGATATTATTATCCACATTTAACAAATGAGGAAACTGAGGCACAGAAAAGGGACTTGCCCAGAGTCACAGAGCTAAGAATGTCTGAGGCAGGATTTAAACTTAGGTCTTCCTATCTCCAGGTGATGTTGGTCAGCATTTATATAACATTTTAAAGTCTGCAAAGCACTTAACATGTTAAGTTAGCTTATTTAGCATCCTATGGGGTATTGTCCTTGTTATTCAGTTGTTTTCAGTAGTGTCTGACTCTTTGTGACCCCATTTGGGGTGTTCTTGGCAAAGATACTGGAGTGGTTGGCCATTTCCTTCTGTGGGGCTAGGTGCTGTTATCATCCCCATTTTAGAGATGGTGAAACTGAGGCTGAGAAGTTAAGTGACTGGCCTTTGGTCTTATAGCTAATAAATACCCTCATTCCCCTCCTAGGAAAGGAAGGTGGTGAGGGGAGATGATGTGCACAATACCCCGTGAGGGAACCAGTGCAAGCAAGATCGTAGGGTCTTAGAGCTGGAAGGAATCTGAGCAGTCATCTAGATGAGGAAACTGAGGCAGAGAGCAGCTATGACTTGTAGAGTAGAGAGAGCGCTGGATCTGGAGTAACTGGGTTAGAATGCTGACTTGGCTATTTATGACCTGGGTTACTTTGGGCAAATCCATTCTCTCTGAGCCTCCGTTTGCAAAGCATAATCCTCCCAGCAATCGTGGGAAGTGGTTATTATCCAGGGAAACACTTTATTAGTTAGCTAAACACCTTAAGGCAAGGGAAGTGTGATGAGTTGTTTCTGTGTACCAGGGACCCTGAAATGAGGCAACTTGGTTGTGTCTTTCTTGAAATCTGCCTTGATTGCTTCAAACATTTAGCTAGAGCTACTAATTTTGATGTTGAAGGACAGAAAGCAAGCTGGGGTTCCTGCTAACATCTAGACCTTAAAAAGAGTGAGGTGACATGAGGGACAAGGGACAGGCCACGCCCTGAGGAATCACTAGCACAAATCCTATTTTCCTTGGAACCCTGGTCTGCCATCCTGATCCTGTCGATCCCTTTACTGCCTTTCTATTTTGCTCCCCCAAACCCTGCTCGTGAGCAGTACTGAGGGTTTAAGGAACACTTGTGCCAATAGGAACGGTCTTGTTAAAGTAACAAATGAACCAGGATTGCCCTCGGGGCAAGTGTGTCCTGGCACAACATGTGAATGGGGGAAGGGGAGGAGGGGAAAGAAAACGAAAAAAACAGAGAAAAGAGGTTAAAATAAGAGTTGTGAGGCTCTTATAGCAAGGACAAAGAATGAGGAAAGATTCCTGCCCTCTGGTGTCCAAGCAGGAAAAGCATGACGATGTTAACGAGATCCATGTTTGAGGTGAAAGGTGTGACGGGTTCAGCGATTTACAACTGGAAGGGATTTGAGATCACAATGCAACCCCTTCATTTTACAAATGAGGACACTGAGTCCTAGAGAAGTTAAATGAGTCCTAGGAATCAAATCCAAGTTGAATCCTTTTTCCACTGCTTAAATGATATAGTCTCCAATTGGGGAGATGAGGGAAAGGCAGAGAGAGAAATGGTGGTATTGTAGGGAAATTAAAAAAAGCATCTTTTTTTTCAGGTCTTAGGTGAGTGGAGGGTGTGATTATAATAAGGGCTCAGTGCTTACAGGGTTTTTCCCTTCCTGCCTTCTTTCCTTCCTTTTTTCCTTCCTTTTTTCCTTCCTTCCTCTCCCTCCCTGTCTTCCTTCTTTACCTCCTTCCTTTCTTCCTCTCTCCCTTCCTTCTTTCCTTCCTCTCCCCCACCCTCTCTTCCTGCCTTCCTTTCTTCCTTCCTTCCTTCCTTCTTTCCTTCCTTCTTTCCTTTCTCTCCCTCCCTCCCTCTCTTCCTTCCTTCCTTTTATCCTTCTTCCTTCTTTCCTACTTTCCTTCCTTTCTTCTGGCTACCTCTTTCCCCACCACCTTCCCCAAATGAAAAGAAAAAAAAAACTTGTAATAAATCTGCAGTCAAACAAAACAAATTCCCACACTGGTCACATCCAAAAGTGTTACCATCTTGAGTGCATCACCCCTCCATCAGTAGTCCTTTGGAATCATGGTTAGTCATTGTATTGATCAGAGTTCTTAAGTCTTTCCAAATTATTTTTCTTTACCAAGTCATTATATATATTGTTCTCCTGGTTCTGCTCACTTTACTCTGCATCAGTTCATAGACTGTCTTTCAAAAGAGGCCGAGTGAAGCGAGCGGAACCAGGACAATAGTTGATGTAAAAACAACGTGGAAAAGAAAAGCAGCTTCATGTAATTCTTAAAGCAAATATGATCACTTCTCCATTTCAGAGAAAGAGGTTAAAGAATTCAGTAACAATCGAGACACTGAGGAAGGCTTTGTTTACACTGGCAAAATCAAATAAAAAAGAGGCTGAATGAACGATTCAAGTAATTGAGGTCCTATGGCCCATTAAGAAATTATTGAGAAAGGGAGGTTTAGGGACTGAATTATTGTTCACCAGATGATTACTGAATCTACCACTTCCCTTTGCTTCTGTAAACCTAAGGTAATTTGCCCAAAGACTTGTAAAAATTTACCTGACAATCAGAAAAATCAAAGGGATTCCCACAGGGGCTCCATCTTTCCAATGATATCTCACTACCCCTGTCCTTTGTTGCAAAATTGGACAAAATACAAATTTTCAGGCACAAGCAGAGTGGGGAAAAGCAGCCCCGCTAAAGAAGAGCGGTATATTGTGCTTCCTGGCTACCACCAAGAATGAATCAGGTGCTCCTCAATCAGAACAACGCCATAGGCCTCTTACTGCTAATGATAATTGAACCTATTGGAGCTGATAAGATCACCAAGTGAGAACGGAGGGAGAAAAAAAGGAGACAGGGCCTTGGGGTATACCTCTATCTAGTGGATATGATATGGATAAAGATCCCACTAAGGAGACTGAGAAGGAGCAGTCAGATTAGGAGGGGAACCAAGAGTTAATCAGTATTATAAAAACCCAGAGGGTTATTGTGAGGATCAAGAAATAACACATGCAAAGTGCTTTGCAGATCTGAGAGAGTTACATTAACGTTTTTTGTGATTGAGTTGTTTCAGTCATGTTTGACTCTTTGTGACCCCATTTGGGGTTTTCCTGGCAGAGGCACT